GGGGAACAAAATTTGCAATTAAATAGTGTAACAAGTTTGAAAATTCACTATTCTTGAGAGTAACTGTTGCGGAAAAAAATTTGATAATTATCGTAGGGTGATTTTTAACGAAGGCTTTATGTATGTTTTTGGAGATTATATTGCAAATCGCTCTGAGGGCATGAATCCAACAAGTATATTTTTTCGATATTTTAGGATCAACGTTGCCTTTTAACACGAAACCCTGGGGATATTTTACTTCACGATAAGACACTGGACATGTTTTTTCGTAGTTTGAGTGACATTTAATCCGTCGCAGAAAGCAGGCGTTCATCCGCGGGGAACGGTTTATTTCTTGCCTCACTGTCTGTTAGGTAGATAGAAACGTCCTTCAAATGTCTCATTGACATGATACAGAGTTATTGAAACAATTATCTAGCGCACTGTAAAATTGAATACAAGGTAATCGGTAGATGTACTGTCGTTATTACAGACGAAATTAAACAAATAAAAAAGGGGTTTTAAACGATTTTTATAATGATGGAATACTTATATTGTTTTTTATAATTAAGTGAATTCATTACCCACAATTTATTCAATGCGGCAGAAGAGAATTATTTTATACTCTTTGCACTAAAGTAAATAATAAATTAGGCTTTTAGTGAATATTACACAAAATCCCGTGAGCGAGCGCGTTTTATAATTTGCATCGTGGCCATACTGGGAAGAACCTTCAAAGTTATTTATCTGTTAGTTTCTATGTAATTGTATTCCACAAGATATCATGCCCCGCTCAATTCCACTCCTTCCCGCTTTGCAAAAAAATAGGAGTAATTTTGCCAAAATCTGGTTTATGTACTGCTTGTGGATATTTGCAGCAGTGATCATCCTTTTTGCGTGTGCGCCTGTAATATAAATATTGTTTGACAAAATTTGTTCCCGAGCAGCGACGGATTTACCATTTTCGTGGCCCCAAGCAAAAATATTTTTATGTATCTAGGGCGTTAAGTAAATTTTTTGTCCCTCAACTTGGGTCAGACAAAACATCTAGTACCGCCCGTGGTGCATACAATTAATTAATAATACTCGTTGTTGGAAAGATGTGTTTGTACAAAATGAAAGAATATTGAGGAAATTCTCGCAGAGGGTTAACAAAGATTCGGACAGTGGTATCCAGTAAAATCTCTCTAAATATGTGGACATTTTTGGTGTATTTGAGAGTTATATGGAAAATGTGTGAATTTAGGTTACTTGCCTTTATGGCCAAAAGTTATTTAGAATACTTCATAACTTCAAAAAATAACATTTCGAGGATATTATCCGATGTGCTTTACACATTACTACTAGTAGTACTGCAACTCAAGACGCACATATATCTATTAAAAAGGTAATAATATTGAAATATGAGTCACTGATGGCAATTATAACTTCACAGGAACATTCCAAAATTGCAATTTTCGTATCAATTAAGTAAAATGTGGTTTATAACGAGTTATTTTACTTATTTGAGCGTTGTGTCATATATTTATTGTATTTGCTTGTATCTTAACTTTAATAAATTGAATTCATAAAAATGTAGTATGTGTAGTGTTGATATTAGAGCGGGCCATAAAGTATTCAAAAGTTCCTCGGGCATAAAGGATCAGAAAGGGCCGCAAGGGAATTAAGAATACCGTAACGTGTTTTGTTTCAGGTCCGTAAACACACAGCAACGATCTAGAAAACATGAATGACAATTGAGGTCCCCCTTTTTACTGGCATCAATAACATTTTTCAAGTTGAAGTTTTTAACTTTTAAACACAGAATTAATTGAGCAATTAAAATATGCCTTCAAATAATAATTTTATTCAAATGTAATTTTTCCTTTACGATGTGGGAGCGTTCACGCGCTTTCCCCGGATTTGGCACTGGCGGCCATCCGGAGCATCTCCATTAGTGCAGTTTGTCGTCATATGAATACACTAACCGTTGACATCTGCGTGTTGAAGCAGCTTACACTCACCAGTAAGTGACGCATGTAGGCATCCACGTACGCTAAACTGGTTCTTCCATTTCCCTGAGAAAAAAATAACGGCGGGTTTTGCACCATGACAAGTAACATTCACTTGGTACTTCGGTCTCGGGAAATGTATACATTGCACCATAAAAGGCTAAAATGTGGTTTTCCGTGAGGCACAGGAAGAGGAAAAGCAGTTGGCTTTCCTGCCACTGTCACCGGAAAACGCCTGGAAAAGAAAGAGGATAACACTTGTCATTTGATGAGTGTTTCGTGGTCATTAAGGGTAAATTTAGCAACTCTATCCACTTTTTCGTTACCAGGGCACAGCAATAACAGTTTTTTTGCCGAAAATTCACCAGTGTTTCGCGCAGCATTACATAACTGCACAAGATTTGTGAATTTGCTTTTTTAAAAAACTTCTCTTCCTCTTTTTGTTTCACCTCTTGGCGAAAAGGCGTGGGGGCAATGACAGTGCTGAGGTAAGCAGCCAAAGTTGCGAGATTGGTAACGAGGTGGCTTCATGTGCTTTCAGCAAGCAGTAGAGATGCTTGTGAAGAGATTTAAATGTTTCCGTTACCTAGAGAATACCTCAAAGTAGGCCATTTAAGTGTTTTTGCCCCATGTTCTAGGTCGCTGACATCGCAAGATGGGTAGTGAAGTGGCTGCTGGTGCTTTTCGCGAGCAGTAATGCTTGTGAGGAGAAATAAATGAACCTAATTTTTTCTCCATTTCCGTGGCGTAGAGAATACCTCAAAATAGGCGATATAAGCGTGTTTTGACCCGTGTTTGAAGGCGAGACATACACAAATCAATCGCAACACTAGAACAAGTATTGCGAAGCCAGAACATCGGATCTGCATCCTGACAAACTTGGAATCGATACAAGAAAGAAAGAAAAAAGCAAACAAAAAGAGCGAATAGATAAATGTATTGAGGGTCGGCTACTTTTCACCTTCTAAATGATTGCTCTTTATTATTTCTTTCATTTTTTCTTCCATTGATTCTTTTTTTATTCAGGTTATTTATTTTGCAGAAGTTCATGAACATTTAGTGCTCTCCAATTAAGCACTTTTTAAATTGGAAAATATACTAATTTCTAGAAAATTGAATAGTTTATTGAGAAAATAATTTCTCAAATTGCCTCCCGTATAAATGTTTACGTAACATTCCAGGGCGTAAAAGTGTACATTGTAACAAGGCGAATTTTCGACAGAAAATTCTTTATTGGCGTGCCATTGTAACGAAAAATTGGATAAATAGTGTTGCTAAATTTACCCTCACCGGCGAAAATGGGAAATTGTCACACCGGTACGGACGTGGTGTCCCGTGGTCTCATAACATGTTGTTTCAAATATTACAGAATTGATTTGTATTTCGAGTGAAGAACATTGAAACTTACGTTAAATGATGACTAAAGAAAATATTAATCAGGATATATTGGTTATTACACTATTTAATGAGTGAATATCATTTTATATATCAAGGAATGGTTGAATAAAGTGATGTAGACTTTTAATTGAACGATCTTTATAATCAAAATTTATTGAACATTAAAAATGTATTAATGAAAACTACTATAAGTCTAAAACTGAAAGTCAAGGACAATTTTTTTGCTACCGCAAACACTGAAATTCTGACATAAGTTTCTTTCGTCATCTTTTTCTGCACAACTCTTGCACCGTTTCTTATTTCCTTAGTAGTGTTTGGCATTCTGAATAATTTTTTATTCGGTTTCTTCATTCTCAAGAAATTCCTATTCATTATCGTCTCCTTCACATATTCTAGACAAGATTGTTCATATGATGAGTCACGGTGATTTGATGATCCGAAAGATAAACCCTCTCGACTACTGTACAATTGCTCCACCTATTGCGCAATATTTTCTTCAAAATTATGGTCATTAATATTCACACGCTCACTTAACAGACTAGACATGTTTTCCTATACATTGCAATTTTTTCAGAGGCGCTTCATAACAAACTGCACTAACTGCCAAAGTGCAACGCGCACTCAGTGATAGTTACACTGCTACTGGCGTAGAGTCCCTATGTCGCATGCGCGTCAAGAAAGGCTGATAATTTCCCTGAAAAGCATTCCACAACAGTAAGCTCGTGAACTCTTACTTAAAACTGTAGAAGAAAAATAATCTAGGTTATAAAAAACCAGTGGTTTTAAAACAGCACGAACGTACTTTCTCAACCATATTTCCAAGCAAAATAAAGCATGAAGTCCTTCGTTCGTGGATGCCTTAAGACCTATTTCATCAAGACAACGCTCGTTCTCATATCGCTGCACCTCCAGAGCAAATGTGAAATGTGCTCAAACAGTTTAAACAATATTTTTAAATAATTAAGAAGCTATGTTATTTTTATTAAATACACATAACTCTTTAACTCATTGGCAAACTGTATTTCCGTATGAATAACATAGGGATGATAAAATCATCCGCTTTAAAATTTGGTTTTCAAATGGAATAATTATTCTTTTTTTTGTTACAGGTTGAGCAGTTTTTATAATGATATTTCTACTGCTGTTCACTGTCCTCATTTTATATATACTTTACTCATGGATCACTCTCAAGCCACAGAATTTTCCACCAGGTAATTTTACTTACATTATAATTAATCAATCTCTTCAATTAATTATAATAATTAAAATATATTTCACTACTCATGTCTGGAAACTAGTACTTAGTTATTTGTTTACTTACTAGTACTTACCTTCACTGTTTATTGATAGAAAAGTGATACATTGTGGTACGTGTATGAAAGGTATACTCTCATAGGTAAGGGTCGGATTTTGATGACCTAAAACATCGTCAAAATGGTCAATAAAGAGCGCTTAAAATGTTTAAAAAATGCCCTAAAAGAAAAGAAAAGAGTTATCAAAACTAGTTCAGATAAACAACTTTAAGTGTTGGATATGTAACTGATGTAATCGAGGCTTTTTCCTTTCATTCAAGTGCACTCAACTTTTGGTTTGAATTGCCATTTTTATTACCAAAAAATCTCTATATTTTGTTATCGCGAAAACGGCTGAACCGACAATGGGGCTAATATGCATCACAGACACCTTAGATTACGTACTCACGACGTCTGACATTACAATTTCTAAGCGAAGAACCCGCGTCACCTGGCCAGCTAAGAGTATCCGTCTTTTCTTCAGGTTCATTATTCGAGATTTTGGTTATAATTCCTCGGTGGTAAATGACACGCACTTTAACTACGCTTTGCAATATACTTACCAAATATTCGCAATGTATCTAGTAGAGACCCTAGCTCCGTTTCAGACGTTTTATATTACTTGAGGACATCGATGTGGAAATGGGAGTAACTAGACTCGCCTCCAATGCTCAGTATCCGAATCGGACCTTTTGGAAGACTGTTGAGAGAGGTACCAAAGCTTCTACGAAGATCAGAGAAGAGAGCAAGTGTCTTCGGGTATCCTTCGACGCTTCCTGACATTTCCGAGAGGGTGTCCCATATCAACAATGAGGATATTCCAGAGGAACTTCGTGATCTTTTAACCAACGTTTAGATCTTCTCAGCTCTTCACTAGCCTACTCTGTGGCAGAGAGTCGTTTGCCTTTTTGTAGTCGATCAAGGCAACATGCAAGTTCTTGAGGCATATTTTTGCGTTTTGTAGAATAATTTTGTAAACGATGAAAGCATTTTTGTCCCTCTGGATCGTCTGTGATTTTCTTTTGGGCAGACCATCGCCATCAAAGTGCTTTCGTATTACACTGGCTAACGTGGATGTAAGCACTTGGATGTCGTTGGTAGACATCTCATAAGTCGGTAATTGACGGGATCTGGCCCATTCTCACAATATTTGTTGATATGAGTCATCTGTGTAGTATTCATGCACCGTTGTGGAGAGCATGCTTGAAGTAATCAGATATATGTTTCAGGACCCCTATGTCCGTCGCGGTTTTTGTAGATCCTGACGATGACCGAACCGTTGTAGTTTTACACTTCATATGAATGCGTTCCATTTTGTTTTTTGGAGAGGTGGATCAAGTGACTCCTCTAATTCGAATCATAAGAACTGCTGTTAATCGATATTTCGGTACTTCCACCACCTGCTGGTTAGATGATGTAGCTTTGTGAAGCCTAATCTAAAATTACCTTTGAATAGTCTTGTCAAGATCTTCCATCTCTCACTTCGAAATAGTCCTGCGAAGTGGATTAATTAACATAATCTTGAAATATTTATCGATTTAATAGGGATCCCCACACGAAGAGAGAGAGTGTGGAGTTGAGTGCCAGAGGTAATAAATCTTGAAGTCTGTATTTTCATGCATACAATGCCCCTTGAATTATTATTATTATTATTATTATTATTATTATTATTATTATTATTATTATTATTATTATTATTTAGTGTACACTTCTCCAGCGAGTACTACTAGGACTTGTTCATCCTATCTTAGAACTTTGGGTTAGGGAAATATAGCTGGTTCTGATGACAGATCTATGGAACGACGAAGAGGAAATTTACCTTTCTCCAACGTTCAGTTTAAGGACTTCGCACAATATTTCAAATGCCTATAATTAAAATGTTCAAAGAAAAAAAGGCCAAAAGCAAATCGATTCATCACAACTCTCTTGCAAAGATTATTGGTACCATTTCAACCTTCTCCAATTGCCATATGGAATTTTGGATTTTATACATCTAATTATATTTAGATTATTACGGTATATTGTACTATATTAGTATTATTGTTATTATTATTATTGATATTTTTATTATTATTATTTCGTATGATACCCTGTTTCTTTATGGAATATACAGAAATAAAGATATATATGAAAAATCTTAAAGATGATAACTATTTTTAATACAATATATGAAATTGTGTCAGAATTATTAACAACGTTCCCTGCAATGATGTGATCTTATTTTTTCTGAATCACATCCTTTTTTTTCAAATATTTTGCGTCTTTTATTATAATAATAAGATTGTTGTTTTGAAGCACATTTTTGGAAAGTGTATGCTTTTGTGGGGAGAAAAATTTGAAATATCAAATAGATTTGTCTTTGTTATAAATTATTTTCAAATAAGTAAAGAACTTTTCAAGGTGTCTATATTACCAAATGATTGTCTTTTTCAGGTCCTCCTACTGTCCCAATTTTGGGGTCCATTCCCTTTCTACCAAAAAAGAATGGTCATTTTGACATGGAAAACTGGAGGGATAAATATGGAGGAGCAGTAGGTCTTGCTCTGGGAAGTTTTTTGTCTGTGGTTGTATGTGAACCGAAATTAGTGCGAGAAGTTCTGAAGCGTGATGAATTTCAAGCAAGACCCTATAACAGCCAGCTTCAGTCTCGTTCTTTTGGCAGAAAAATTGGTATGTTATTACACATTATCGGTCAATTGACACGAACTGTTAGGGGTGAATGGTAAAGAAATTTATTCACGAGGGCAAGAGTGAGTGCAGGACAGACGATATGTGGTAAGTTCGAGTGGATAGTTGACCAGAGGAGCGGGGTCCCCTACAGATGTTTTTGAAATTGTCATGTTTATCATTAAATTGTCATCAAATTGTTATCACATTTTTTAAAGTAACTTAAGCAGTTAATTTTTGTAATGCAAAAACTGAGCAGCGCTTTGCATTTTTTCATTTAAACGCATTTAACAATTTTTGCATATCGATTTTGTGGGTCGCGTCTCTATACACATGTACAATTGCAATTTTAGCCGATTTTGTAACAGTTAATCGCATATACGTTTTGAGCCGACGCAATACCATGAAACTTCGTTATTTTCTGGAATTTGACGTTTATGACGAAGTTGTGCCTCGTAAAATGTCTTGCCTCCTAAAATGTCTTGCCTCCTAAAATGTCTTGCCACTTAAAATGTCTTGCCACTTAAAAGGCCGTGCTTCCTAAAAGGGCTTCCCTTCTAAAATGTCCGCCGTGCGCAGGCATTATGTTTGCCGACGGCCCTGACTGGCAGGAGCAGCGCCGCTTCTCCCTGCGCCACCTCAAGGAGTTCGGCTTCGGCAAGACGAGCATGGAAAGCAGCATTCTGGACGAGGCGGCGGATCTCATGGACGAGATAAGAGACAGAAGAGTGCAGGTAGAACGCCTGTTGTGACCACATAAGAGAGGCGCTCAATAAGTAATGTTCGCATGTCTGTGAAATTAATTGTGGTTGATTAACTCTAACCAGTTTATCACATCCTCAAACTACATGATTAACCCATTTCTCTACATATAAAGTTTATTTGCTAGCTGGTTCGGGATGGCTGAGATCATTAAGGCAGTAGTGCCGAAGCGATCTCCGACCGATGGATCGCGGGCGCATCGGGCATGATTATATTTGTGTTCGTACCTTTACCCCTTATCATCATCATGTCATTTCATCATTACAGTTACCATACCGTTAAAGGCAATAGTGGTCGCTAATGAACTAGGTGTTAATGTGACTTTAAATAACACAATAATAATTATTATTATTGCTCCAAATTAGACCTATATAATTGAAAATACTTCCACGTTCGATTTAGTGTTCACCTGACTGCCGAAATTTCACGAGAAAAACATGCAAATGCTCGTCGCGGACGACATCTCTAATTTATTTCTTCAGTCAATGCTTTTGCGCCTTACTGTCTTGCTCTTTTCAGAGCCTTAAAAGACGTTGCATTTCTACGCGTGTTTTGCAGAGGCACTGAGCATTCGAATGTGTCTTCCAGACAGTCATAAAATTGCCAAGAATAAAATAGAACAATCCTATGGCCCTACTTACCACCTATAGCCACTGTAAAGGAACTTAAAATTTATTTCAGAGAGTTAGCGGATTTTATCACTATTGCGTCCGCAAGAATAACGCTAGACATCAGTGGCTAGTAATCTTTATTAATGGGTAGAGACTATTCTTCCCTAAGGTTTACAACCACAACATGAAAATAAAATCCTTTCAGAAACACAAATTGCAACAAAAAGTACTCTCAAACAAAGGAAAAACAAATATCAAAACGCACAAAAGGAAACTTTAAAATAAGATTTTTCCACATAACATTTTTCTACAATAGAAATTCTTTCTGACAAAATATTCTATGCGCTCCTTAATGATCCTTGGGGTCAAAATCAAGTTCAGTGGTCACCTTCGGAATTTCCTGGCGAAGACGTGATAGTTCATCTTGCAGCCCTCGCAACTTGTATTAAGACAAGGTTTTTATCTAATAAAGATGGAGCTATTTTGTACGAGGGCAGGAAAACACACTTTTGTGCTGGGGGGCGTAACTCCTACATCTGGCCCTGATAGCAATTGACGCACTCGGAAACACCAATCAATATAAACTACAATTTTGTGGGGGCACCTCTTTTAGATTGAATTTCGGGCGTGAGGCTTTTTGTTATTACGCATCAGCACATGGAAGCTTATTTATTGAACGCCCTGAGAACATTGTTTTGTAATGCATATTTGTTTCTAAAACATGCTCAAATGTTAAAATACTTATCTTCTTTTCAAATCTCAGGTGAGCAGTTTGTTCAATATATCCAGTGTGAACGTCCTCTGGAAGGTCATGGCCGGAGTCAGATTTAAACGGACGGACCCGCTTCTCCAGAGACTAATAAAAATATTGACGGATCTTTTCCGATCAGGGAATGGTCTCTCTGGAAATCTGTCGGGATTGTTTCCTATTCTTAGATACGTATTACCATTTACAGAACAAGACATTGTAACGAGAGAACTGTCCAAGTTTATTTTGGTACGTGTAAAAGCTACTTATTCTTTTTCTATTTCAATAATAAATTGTTGATGTATATCGTTTATCATGTTTGCGTATTTTTTTCAGGAAAGCATTCGGGAGCACGATAAAACTCTGGATGAAGCCAATCCCAGAGACTTCATTGATGTTTACCTAACGGAAATGCGCAAACACAAGGGGTCTGTTTCCTCTTATGATGGTAAATTTTCAATTATACCTTCCTTATTAGCTAATCTATGGATTTCCAAAGTGGCAGATGCGCTTCTGGAGAAGTGATTTAGAGAAATAGTAGTAAATGTCTATGTGTGTATATGTTAAAGAATGGGAGCATGCAAACAAGAGTATTTTAAAACTATCTGACATAGTCTTATCGTAAGAATCGTTTATTACAGCACGAAGGGTTTTTGGCCGCATTGCGTGCAGCAGTGCAAGCTTGTCGGTTGGGGGCAGGTAGAAACATGTCCGCAAGGCGATCGAAAAATCTTTACGCTGTAAAAAGCTTAAATAACTCGCCTGGATATTAATTTATCACAACAGTGCGATAGACAGGGAAAGGTATATATTCTCAATATAGTGTGTAATGTTATTTACGTCCACACTCCTCTTCCCTACCAATTCCGCCTCTTCCTAGCTTGCAGTGCCCGCGCACCTCTTCCCGCCACCCACACAACACTGCGCTCACTCATCCGCTCTTTGTACCCGACTCCTAATTTTTCGTAGTTTTGGAGATTTTGCACGTTTTTGTTCTTCCGTGCTACGGAGGGAGATACCGACTCGAGCCAATCTCCCACATATCTCTTATGTAAGGGGAAAAGTGTGCTCATATTTGTGTATATTGATGAGCTTTTGAATCACTGGAATGATCGCTCGAAAAATCGACACGGATCCTTTTAAGAACCCAAGAATAAAAGCAGATTTTAGATTGAGAATATTACTTCTAAATTATTTTTTTTACTAGTAAATGTTGGCAACTCGCAAGACATTTGTGTGTTACGGGATTGCTTTGCAGTGCGGAACGGGGGTCAGGACTCGGGTGTAAGGGGCCGCGTGAGGCATGGCACGGCAGGGCGAGGCCGGACGAGGCGGTTTCGGAAAGGGGCGAAGCGGGAGAGGGGTGGACGGGGATATCGGGACGGAGTTGTGAGGGCGAGGCTTAGGACCCTTCCGATCGCGCCACTGTGTAGTGTTTCCGAGTGCTAACAAAGCATTGGTTTAAATGGAGGTCTTCACAAGAGTCGCGTTGCTGTAACGCTCGGTGGCGGACTACCGCCACCAGCAGAACGGAATCGCGTTCGCGTCACCCGAAGCAGAACCCTGAATTAAATGGCAGCGTTCACACCAGACGCGACACAAAAGCGCCACTGAACCGATCTTGCCTGCTGCTGGCCTTTGCCGCCACGAAGGGTCGAGCTCTGCCGCTTCTCGGTGGCGCCACCGAGTGGTCTCGTGTGAATGCACCGTTACGGAACAGGGAGAAGCGAGACGAGCATAGTGGGGGGGGGGGAGGGTGAATTGAGCGGGTGGAGCAGAGCGCTTGGGATGGGACAGGGCGGGAGGAACTTGGCGTGTAGGAGAGTAGAATCAACAACAGGTAGAATCCATTCATTTTCCAGTCTAATTAATGATTGTGATAAATAAATATCTGGTCAACGTCGGATGGCTTTCTATAGTAAAATATTACAATAATTTTGTACACTGCGGCTTATACCAAAGCACGATAGCAACGTATGTTGCGGGTTATGTCATCTTAAATCTGTTTATTGAACTCATTTGAGGTTATTCACTTTCTTGTAGTAGTAAATTTACAGGTTTTCTTTTACAATTGGTTGTTTTGGTCTTAAAAAGCATATAAAATCAAAATATATTCTTCCTATAAACATAATACATATGAAAGGATAAGACCAGTGTTTCTGATTTGCAAAATATTGAAAAATGTATCAATTTTTTCAAAATGTTTGAGTGAGTCATATGAAACATTGTAATTATATGGGTGTTCTGAAAATTTACAAGCATACGGACAAAAATTATTGACATTCATAGTTAGCATAAATTTAGAAACAATTCAAGAAACTATGTAATGTTGTAGCACCACTAGTTTTGTTAAGGAAGAAAATTAATAGAGATCTATTTTAGAAAATATATTGTACAATATATAGAAGCTAATGTTTTTCACAAACCGACATTAAGACGATGATGTACACATTTAATTTTTTTAAAATATTTTGTGTACCTGAAACTCTCCTGTATTTGTATCTAAAATCTTGTATTTTAAGTTTATAATAGATTCTCTCATTTGGATAGGGAAGGGTAAATAATGATTGTAATGAACTATAATGTGGTGTTATCGCTTATGAAATTCGACTTTTAAAAAATGCTTCGTAAGTCGGCCTTTACTTCCGTAAGCCATTGAAAATGGGTTTACCACTCAAGGTACTGTAGGAAAGGTTTGAAAAGGATAAATGTGAAACCCGAATATATTTGTTTACCCCAAACGTAAAAAGCGAAGTGTAAGGGGTTGTAACCGAACACAAAAATTTCAAAACGCTAAAATATGTATAATCTGTTCTTCTTTGCAGAAGAGACTTTAATTGTCATATGCATGGACCTGTTCTCCGCTGGAGCAGAGTCTGTGGGAAACACCCTGGGATTCATCATGTTATACATGGTGTTGTATCCCAAGGTCCAGCAAAAGGTGCATGAGGCCATCGATAGCTGTATTGGACGTAATCGGAAACCTTCTCTTCTTGATAGACCCAGGTACAGAAGGAAATTTCAGTTGGTATCAGTAAATTTATATTTCCAATATCAGGTGTTAGGAAAAAATGAAATTAATAAGGTTTATGTTACGTGCATGTTTGAAATGTGTTCATCTGTTCTAATTGAAGGGAAACTAATGACTAACTAAACTACGTGAATTTACTTAATTTTAACAAATTAATCTAAACAAATGGTGCGTGGCATATTGGAACGTTTTCTCTATTTAATGTTTTCAAATGATTAATTTGAAAATTGTGATGAACACTAAATCTGCTGGTGGTGACACTTCAATGTACCTGAGAATGGCCTGAATGTATTGACTTGCCGCGTTCTCCTGCGTGAACAAAAAGGGTACCAACGCACTAAAACGATTGTGTAGAATACTAACAGAAGTATTTTATGTAAAGTTAAAGTAAATAAAATAACTAAGGTTATTGAGTTCAAAATTATTCACTTCTTCCGTTTGAATGCAAGAAGAGAAAGTATTTTAATCCTGCACCGGAAAATGGCGAATTTTCGACAGAAAAACTCTTATCGCCGGGCCCTGATAACACAAAACTGGATAAATTCTGTTCCTATTTATAGTAAATTATTTCCTCTAACACGTGGTGTAGCCAGAATTCATGTTTTGTGAATCCTTGGTAGGTACCGAAAAATAGATTGACGGAAAATCGTCAATCTGTCCGTCCGTCGTCGTAAATCATATTTATTTCGTTCATTTAGAAAATCATACGTTAGAATGAACAACGTTCCTCACACTTTTTTTAGGCAAAAGTCAGCTTTTTTCGGTCATGGTAAGAGAGTCGCACGGCAGGGCGTTTATCTTGTAGGCCTATTTTTAAAATAAATCTGTCATACGTGACAAATTCTTTGAACTCGCATTTCGGCCGACAACAATGTCTCACGATTGCGAACATGGGATGAGAAATAACCTAACATCTGAGATTGCAGTGATGAAACCGTGTTACTTACATCGAGACATATCGTCAAGGAATTGCATAATAAATTATTGCTCAAGATCATGAAATAAAGTTTAATGCAATTTAGTTATAAGAATTTGATCTTTGAAGTGATTAAATGTGCGTAATGAAAGTATAATTTGAGGTTGTATATTTACATATGCTTGAAGGACTGATGAATAATGGAAAGCATCTAAACAGACGTATCTATTGGTGTTCAATGTAATACTCTAAAAACAAGTGTAAAATACCGTTTTGGGGTAATATTTTAATTAATATATTCTTTAATATATCGAACCTTTTGGCGCTGTAAATGGATCGAACAGCTAACAAATCCTTTTTCCACAGTTTGCCATATATAGAAGCTGTCATACAAGAGGTTATTCGATGTAACACAATTGCACCGACAACTGTGCCTCATTCAACGTTTGTGGATACGCAATTAAATGGATACTTCGTTCCAAAGGTAAAGTTAATTTTATGGCAATACCATTGCCATTATCACTTCTACTACTCCTATAATTATTACTAAATAATATTACTTTCTGTTATATCTTTAATGATTGAAATTAAAAAATATTATGAATAAACAATGGTTAATAATTATCAAATATTTAATTGTCGCTGATAGATACGAGTTTGCTTTCACAGTATATCTTAATAAGAGATGTATGCAAAAACTATTCGTGGGTATCAGGACATAAATTACACTGACATAACACAAGGAGAGCAGAGTTAGCTAAACTCAGCACAGTGAGCTAAACGCAGCCATTGGGAGATTATTAAAGTAATAGAGGAATATTTAGATACGTAATATATGAATTAATAACTAAATACATTAAAATGTTAATCATTTGGACTTTGAAAGGTAAATAACTAAGCTACAATTACAAGCTATTCTTCAGAAAACCACGTAGTGGATAGTGCTTACGAAATTTTGTCCATTTTACTGTTTTAGGACACATTTGTCCTGCTGAGTCTGTGGAGTATAAGTCAAGACAAAGAGCACTGGGGGGATCCAGAAAATTTTCGACCATCAAGATTTATTGATGAAAGTGGAAAACTCAAAAAGGATGAATTTTTCATTCCCTTCGGATATGGCAAACGTTTATGTCCCGGAGAAGCGCTTGCCCGAAACTTCATCTTCTTAATGTTCACCACGCTCATGCAAGATTTTACGGTGGAGTTGCCGCCTGGACATTCATCCCCATCGACAGTCTGCCTTCCTGGTTTTACGACCGCGCCACAACCTTTCGAAGTGATCTTCAAATCCCGTTGATGGTGATGACTGCGATTCTGGAATAGATGAAGACACGATATATGTACCTTTCGGAGTACCTGTGTGTAAATGCTTCTTCATAATAGATTCAAAATATATTTTACGTTTCCTTGTAAATACTGTTTTATGTTTGCTGTGATATCACATTTCTATACTCTATTATAATTTTTTTCAATATGTTATTTTGTAATGTGATTTTACTATAAATGAATATTTAAAATTATTATTATTGTTATTATTATTATTATTATTATTATTATTATTATTATAATAGACCGTTACAAACCCGTAGAGGCAAGCGTCTCCGGTTGTCGGGTGGGTTACACAGTTGTAGAATTCCCGAGCACCCAATTTGGAAACTTTCTTATTCAGACGCTATTTATACACAAAATAAGAAACTGTAAACGCTATTTACACACAAACTAAGTAACACTATTCTCTTTGTCAGTGTCAAATTTAACACAGTTCACTTTGATTTCACTACTTAAATCTAATTAGCTAGCACTTCATCTTACTACTTTCTGCATTGGCAATTATCAAGTTAGTGAGAAATTGAATAATCTAGTGTAGTACGTGCAATGTGTTGGATTTAGGCATAGTCTTCCACCTCTGACAATCCTTTGGCAAGGTAGGCCATTGGCTGCCAGACAGCAGGATGGGACAAGGAAGAGGAAGGAAATATCATTTGCGGTCCGTGGCCCGTTTGGTGGATACTGCTCCGCCATTCGCCTGGCGTGGCCATCGTAGAAACCACGGAAAACTATCAGAGCAACCGGCCGCTAGAATTCTCCTCCAGCCAGTGACTGAATGCGACTGGCGAGCTGGCTGTCAAGCTAGTGTCGAAAATCCTGCCACCGTCGGGATTCGAACCTAGGACTTCACGGTCAGAAACACTGCAGTGACGTCAGTTGATGCCCTAATATCCTCTCCGATCCGGTCCGATGTAGGAAATGCTCGTACTTTCCCATATCATATTTAGATACAAAACAGCTGTATGGGTGACGCGAAGATAAAAAATGCATTGTATAACTAATCGTATGAATAACACAAGGTCTGCGTATATTGCCTCGTTATTAGTGTGTAATGTTTTTAGGAATGGTCGCGTTATTTCACTTACAGTTTTGGGTGCGGTAAAAGAACCTTCGAGAACATTATTCATTTCACAGATGAGTACAAGTAACTATTTACAAAACTTTCTTAAAATTGTGAGAATCTGTTGTTGGTGAGGGGATCTTTTATCCTAGGAAAACTATGTTTTATGCGCCACAAGCCAGTTGATTTAAAATTTATTTGGAGTTGTATAAGTTTTCTTAAAATAGCTGCATCATTCATTGTTTCCATGCATCACTGAATTCATTTAGGCTGCACTTATTTCCTTCTTTTCTTTATTACCTTTATACAAGAAGTGGCCTCGTCAAGGCTGTAGACTTTCTCAGTCTATATAAACGGATGTCTACGTAAATTTACTTATTTGATAATTTAACGTCAAAAACACATCGTGATGTCCTATGGAGAAAAGTGCAAACCGTACAGGGTTTCATGAGCTCTAGGTTCTCTGCCTAACTCATACAGTACATATTAATTTCAATTATATAGATAGGTGGCAACGAACATTTTGGTTAAGAATTGGTATGACAATATTCGCTCTGTTGTAATAAAAATCACTTTCAAAGGCAAATCAACTACAGAATTGGTCTATTATCCCCAGTGTTCTACGTGAAGGAATAGATTTACTGCCACGATAAAATGGAGAAACATTATTTCAATATCTACGGTGCCCGTAACTCACAAAAATATGCACAGATTATGAAGCTACATTTAATTCCAGAAGAAAACCAAGGGTCCTAGTCAACATTTTCTCAAAAGATTATGGAAACTGGACGAAAAACCTAATCGTGACTAGGGTCGTTGACCGAGAAGCTGAGATTTAATTTTTGTTACAGGCAGTCTTAAAATTATAAAAGCCAATTTTACCAATGGTAACTAATACTTATATATCATTGTAAAATCAAATATTATTTTCCATTTTTGATACTCACTGTAGTTTCTAATTGTTTAGAAACAGTTTTACAGCAACAAACATTTCTATTTCCAAGATTTCCATCCAGAAAAGAGGCCCATTTTGAAATCTGTATTAAAAGTCTCACGTCTCCCTCAGAGACTACAAATAAGTTCATTTCGCATTACTGCGGCTCTTATGTAAGGTAAGTTCTGAACTTGGTTGCGTTGCGCCCGTTGCCCATGGCCTTCTAGTGCGATACATCCGGAGGTCAGTTTTTCTGCGACCGGGAGCCATTGCTCGCTAGCCAGCCGGCCGCAAACCGCACTGTTCCGAAATAACATCCTGCGTTTGCTGGACTTTGTGACCCGTCCTGCGGCGGCGCAAGGCGCATGCACGAACGCTGCTCTATGAGCAATTGCGTGCATGGCCTATTAGATCATACAGTGAGGGGGGAGGTGATGATCGTGCTCTGGTTGAATACGGAATTCCGACATTTTCAAAGGTGTAGAACGAAATACAAATTATTTGTTTTCTGTTTATTGATCAATTTGAACTAGAGTAAGTATGTATTTGAAAACATTAACTTCAACTCGAAGAAAAGCATAAATATTTGCGCATTTAGTGAAGTTTAGTGCCGTGGTTTCGAGTACACACTAGAGGAAAATCTTGCTTTGACTCTTGAAATCTTTGAGAATTCTTGTCTGCGATTGATAAATGAATGAGTTCTAGTGACATCACTTGGGATATTATCGCCCAGGATGCTAATATTTAATGACGTCTACCTCTCTAACCTCAATTCACCCATTTCTTCGGAATCAAATTCTATTTTGAGAAACTGTAAATTCTATATTTTAATTCGTAATTCATACTATATGAATCCTATTAGGTTTCTATAGTTTTGAATTGTACGAATTCATATCGCATGTTTACAAATACACTGATGATGTTCGCGTCTGGGCTTCAGCACACGGGTGGCAATTAAAAATGGCGCAGGTTTCATTTGCACTGAACTATCTGAATTTTCGAAAATCGCAAAAGTTAGAAATAATGCGAGAATGTTTGTGATGTAGCCTCCCGCAGGAGGGGACAGACGGTCGAAAGACCTGAGGCTCTAGATGGACCGAAGACATCCACCCGGTCCCAAGTCTCACGGTGGTACTCACGTTGTTAGCTTCAAGGTGGAGACAGTGAGGAGGTGGTTCGCCACCGATCTTTGGGCATGATCGGGCGTGGGATTCGTTAGCCCGCTGGGCAACTGGCGGTGGATCTCAAACCCGCATATAAAAGTTCGACGGGGCCCATGAACCCCCTGTAGGTTGCCCAGGTTCCGGCGGCACACACGTCGATATCTTCAAGGTGGAGGCAGTGAGGATGCGGGTTAGGGGCTCTGAGCCTCTCGGGTCTTAGTCTGGGCGGCCTCCTTGGGCACATGGCTTCGTCGTGATAGTGGCTCCACTAGTTTCCTTGATGCCACCCCTCAGCAGGGCATCTCTTTTCATTCGCGCGATGCCCGGACATGCCTCCTGCAATATCTTGGAGAATGTAGCCTGTGCGGACGCCTCTCCGATCTCCCCACCACCTGACGACGAACAAGGTCAAAGATGTTGCGTGCAAATTTGCTCGGGCGGCCTGACTGTCCGCTCGCTTGTACTTGACCTCTAGAAAAAGTACAAGTCATCCAGGAAAATCTGTTGGTAGATAGTTGATCGGTTTGAAATAGTCCATAATTTCCTCTTCTTTTACGACTCAACTTTTTTTAACGTTCTCGTACTCCTTGTAGAGAAAGTGTTATAGGAATAGTAGCCGATTTTCGACAGAAAAATACTTCAGTGGGTCCCTGAGACTGAAAAGAAGATTTGTCTTGCTGGCAGTATATTACTATCTCGTAATATTAAAGCCAAATCCACGTTTGGCATGTACTTCCGAAAAAGTGTTTTTTTTTCCTCAAAACGTCTGACTATGAACAATATTAGCACTTGAACCCTACATAAGATTTTCATCAAAATCGATATTCCGAGATTGATATGGATAATGTCGCGGTCAATTTTACATACATTCTTCAAAAATGGCTCCAATTTGTTTCCTTTAAATGTTTTGCTCGAATACGTATATACTCGAGTAAATCGAATATATAGTTTTTGCTCGATGAAATGGCGCATGTTCGATGTACAGTAAAACTATTGAAATTTCGAAAATTACATTACCTAGTTAAAATATTTTTTCACTTTACTATATTATTGAAGATAGAGATTTTAAGAATTAATTATGTTCTTTAAGTTATATCTTTAAATAATATCATGTACAATTTTTTTAAAACATGAATTGTTTTCGCGTAACTTTTAGTGAACAAAATTTTCTCGCAAACAGCTCAACACTTTTTATTTAAAGTTTTTGATTACATAATGCACAGTTTGACTAACAATATGGCATAAGTTCTATATGTATTGAAACCTCTGGTATTTAGAAAATTGTAGAAGTTCAAATTGTTATTTAACCTTTCCTACACCTTCAATGTTTCAGGTAGAAATTTATTTCTTAATGTTATCTATTCATCAATATTATATCTTTATGAAATTGTAGGTAGAAATTGTCGTGATATTAGTAGTTAGGAGTAATTTTGAGGTAAATCGGGAGAATTTTTTTAGGTTCCACAACCACTTGTATATCAAATACTACTACGCACGTATTAGATGGTCCAGTAGACGTTGTATAGTTTACTAATCTCATGGCGGCGTCACTATTCCAAAGGTTCCCAGGGAAACTATCGCATTTATTCTTGGAAAATTGCAAATTCGAATTTACCGTGCTTCTTTTGCAGAAGAGAAAATCACGAGAAGGCTGGGGAATTATCAAGAACATTTTGCATTATTATAATATTAAGTATCCGATACAAATAATAAACGTATGTGTATGCGATCTTGGATGTGTATGAACAGTATGTGATCTTGCAGCATCAGCAGTTTATTTATTTATTTATTTAACGTCAAAATCTTTACGTGACCTACTGTAGTTAAGTATTGAGGGCAGATTAGGGGGGAAGGAGCATTTTACTGAACAATGGGTCTTTGGAGCAATTAATACCTGTACTATTGTCATTATGTTTTCTATGACCAAAGTCTAGGCATCGTAAGCACTGCTCTGGTCTCTTGAACTTTTCTTTTCTCATGGTTGACAATCATGTTGCGTATTATTTTTATTTATATTTCATACATGAGATCAAATTC